ATGACTTAATGCTTAAAAAACGCTTTTTTTCTTTGCTTGCTCCTTGCATGCTAATTTATAAATTTTTTTATATTACTGTTTAAATAAAGTTGTATATGCATGGTAATGGTAATTTTTAGGTTAGCGGCAATTTTCCTTTAATTTTATAAGAGTGGTTAAAGAATCATTTTTATTTGCTTTTTCCTTGTTAATTTATGAATTTTTTTTAGATTGCTATCATCATGTCAGATCACGATAATTATTGCAATGATTTTATTTATGATATCGGATGGTCTTCGGATGATCACACTGAAGATATCGGAAGTATTTCTGATGATTCTGAAAACGTTGTTATTGCAGAAAAAAGTGGCGATGAATTTCTCATAGAATTGTATAGAGAACGATCATTTTTGTACGATAAAAGAAATGCTAATTTTAAAAATACATTAATGAAACAAAATGCTTGGAACGAAATCTCGAAAACAATGATTGAAACAAATTGTGGTAGTTTTTTTATTAAAATTAAATTTTACTAAGTTATTTTTAGTCATTACACATATTTTTATTAATTATTTTTAAACTTCTATTATAGGTGATTTTTACACGCCTGATTATTGCCAAAGAAGGTGCACTTCATTGAGAGAGCAATATAATCGTGAAAAGAAAAGACTAGAAAATCAGTGTAGAAGTGGAAGTGGTGCTCCAAATTTATCTTCTCGTCAATTTCCATTATATTCTCAATTAAAATTCTTGGACCAAGTCATCAAAAGACGAAAGTAATTTTATTCCTGTAAATATGTAATTAGTGTAATCCCTTTATGACATAACATTTTTTAAATATAATTGTTGTTTGTTTCAGAACTTATAGTAATGTAACCAAATGTCAACCAGATGCAACTTTTGTTAACAAAGGTCCATCAGGAAGCAAATCACATGTTCCAGACGACGTTAACGCTTTTTCTTCGTGTAATAAAGAAAGTCAAAACACAAAGCCCAAGGAAACTGTTGATGCTGAACATACTTATGGCAAAGGTGTAATATGTTCTCCAAGGCCAAGAAAAAGAAAACTGGATGAAACTAAGGAGTTAGAACATAATTTTTTTAATGTGGGCAATAGAATTGTAAATTATATGGAATCGACAAAAGCATCTACAGCAGATGATGCATTTATGGAATTTATAAAAGTACAGTTCAACGGTATGCCAGAACATGAAAAGCATATCAGAAGGAAAATGATGATGGATTCTCTAATAACACCATTACCAGAAACGTAATTATTACTTTATTGTTCACTCAAAGTAATGTCTGTATAGTTTAATATTCTATTCTGTGATTCTGTGTAAAATAATTACATTCTAAGGATGTATGATTATTTATTTATGGCAAAGTTTATGTTAGTAAGAAATAATTTTATTTTTACGATTACAATAATAATCTTGTTTTTACGTATTACAATAATAATCTTGTTTTTTACAGATCGAATTGAACATAGATAAGTTATTTATGTTTACACTTCAGTTTAATTATCTGCATGTACACCTCTACGGATAAAGTCGTACTGCCACGCCAATTCTCCAGTTGGAGAGACAAAGTATTCGCATAATGTGTTTCGTTGATTTTGAGCATCTCTGACGTTACCACTGCATTCTTCAACATTTGATAATGGAAACCACGTTGGATTCTACAATGTTTATTCACAAATATTTAAAAATAAAATATCCACTTAATAATTATATAATTCACCAATTACTCAATTATAATTTTTTACCTGATTTATATTATTTTCTGGAGTTATTTCTTTACTGTAAAATTTATAGCCACTTCGTTGTTCTTCCTTTAGCACATAATTATGTAAACAAACCGAAGCTGTAGTAATTATATTAGCCGTTTCTGGTAGCATACAAATAGCTGTATGAAGTATCCTCCATTTATTGGCAAGAATTCCGAAGGCACTTTCAACAGTTCTGCGTGCTCTAGAAAATCTGTAGTTGCAAATTTTCTGTTTATCACTCAAATTTTTACCAGAATAGGGTTTCATGATTCTATTTGAGAGTTTAAAAGCGTCATCAGCAATGAAAAACCCAAATGTCTTCAAAGTACTACCGGGAAGATTAATAGTTCCTTTCGGTAGATTTAACTGCTCATTATTTAAATTTAATCCTATCTGAGAATCACTAAAAATTCCCCCATCGCTGTTTCCTACAATAAATCAGATACATATTTTATTTTTAACGTATTTAGTTATAATAAAGTATAAATAATTATATTTTTGTAAAGCTTACCTCCATAAGCCCCTATATCAACTAAGGTAAATCTGTATAAATGATCTGCCACTGCCATTAAAACGATACTATAATATTTTTTATAATTGTAAAATAAAGTCCCGGAATTTGGAGGACACTTTAGCCTTATGTGTTTTCCATCTACCGAGCC